ATATATATATATATTGCATATATTATATATTCTACATCCTGGCAAACTATATATGCATCTATTTGTGTATATATTATTTTACATATCAACAGATTGTAGCAGCAATATGACATTAACATTTTTTTGAAATATAAGGCAACACTAAAATTTGACCTTTTCCAGTTATTCTCAGGGATAGTCCATTTTCTGAAAGAGAGTGGAGGGTAAATGTCAGATGGCTGAATCACAGCATACTGAAAAGGTTAACGCAAAAGTACAGCACTACCCATCACGCTTTCAGCGTGAGACATGATGATACCTGAACTGACTTTGGTCTGAGATTGTTCTTACGGTGACATGAAAGTCTATTTTCATGGACAATGATCAGGACAAAATGCAGGGCAGTGAAGCTCAAGACTCACTTCCTGAATGTCATCACCAAGGTTTTTTCTAATGATTCAGGAAAGCAAAATTCACGCTGTCCTGAGCCTGTGCTAGAGGACATGCCTGTCTATCCACCCATCACGCGCTGTTCTGACAGTTCATCAGTGGGAAAAGCCTATGCTTATAGCATGGATACTGGAAACAGAAGAGAAATTCTTAGAGTCTATACATACCACTTTTTCTCTGATTTTTACAGCAATGCCCTAGATATTATACTTGGGTAATACTAGGACTATTATGAATATATGACCTCTTGAGTAGGTATAATTCCCCTCACCATTGAATAACATGGCAACTTGATACATCATTTTCATGAAGTTTGAAAACCATGAATCAATATCCCTATAATCCACTTACACTGCATAAATTGATTATTTATCAAATGATACTAATATGAGAACAAAGCTATCCCATAGCTGGTCAGTTTCTCTAGCTATTTACTCAGTTGTATAAACACCCCTGCAAAAACTGATTCCAAATGAAAGCTTTTTGTGACTTGTGAATAGGTGTTTTCATCAAATTCACCTGGGAAAATGTTTTAAAAAGTGTCTTCAGAAACTTTTATGGCTATTGCTGTAAATACAGAATAAAGAAGAAAATTCAAGCAGTCATTCCAATGACTCAAGGAAAAAAATAACATTTGCCTGGTCTTTCTGGGAATTCATGGTATATCTCTCACCTCAACCAGTCACATACAACAGTAAGGACTCAGATTATGAGTCAGCGTTTTATATGATAACAGATGTTTAACTGAATTTTCAACTTCCATCCACAGTAGAATGCTGGGCTCCACTCTTACCCAACCTTTGTTGAGTCTGCTCACTGGGAAATCTCATTGGATGTTTCCTGAGTATAACACATAATTCATTTGATATGCCTAGTAAATTCAGATACTTTTCTGCTCCTCCAGTGATTCAGTCTGCACATTCTACATCAAAGGGTAGAGACTCTGACAGCGTCAGAATTCACCTCAAGCACCATTCAACAGAGTGGCAGGGACAGCCAGTGTGACTCTCATAAACCCCCCTGGAATTTGACTCAGGAAGCTTTCAGAGTAAAGGAGGAAGCCGTGCCTGCCTGTCAGAGTCAGAACAGATGGGGACCATCCTTCGAATGTGGCACGTGGAGGTACATCTCTTCCATGACCTGAAGCTCCCCTGTCAGCCTATGTGGTTGGCAAATACTATCATATCAACCCTGCATGTCAATGGATGGATGGTTTGCTTTTATTATTTACATGGTGATAAGATTCTTTCCTACTGGAATAAGCTTGGATGGGTTGGATAGACTTCCCAAATAGTCAATCTGTTCTCCTCAATGAGTCATTGAACACACACACACTATCTCTCTGAAAAGCCTTCTAGTATCCCACTCAGGCCTAATTCTTGGCCTGGCTCACACTGTCTCCACCCACTCACTATACATCTTCATTTTCATGCTTTTTTAAAATGACAACAATCCTTTTGAAGCCAAATCTTCTCTTTACCCAAAGGCTTGATTAATGCTTTTGCCTGTCTCTGGACTAGGTATGTAATGGAACTTAGGGTTTTCAGGTACAACCCATGTGTCCTCACCCAGGGATTAAAATGTAAGTGTCACAATGAGACAACCACACTCTGTTATAGCCAGCCAAGACCCCAGGGAAGTGTGAGGGGTCTGCTGCGAGGTAGGCCTGGGTTTTTTGTTCCTGCACTGACACTCTTGGTGTGAGTTACTTAACCTCTAAAAACCTCAGTTTTGTCAATTTATGGAGGTAAATAGAATTTACTTCATCCGGTTGTTGTAGGCATTGAGTTAGATTAAATACCATATGGAAAGCATTTACCACAGTGCCAGGGCCAGGGTAGCGGCTCAGTAAATATTTCTTGCATTTGTATTAACTCCCATTTCTTTATTGGTGGCGAGCTCATTCCGGTTAGACACTGATTTTCTATTCCCTTCAATCCCTGGCAAAGTTTTAAGCAGACAAGATTCTTGTAATTTATTTCATACTAGTAGCTCGACGCACAAAGATTCATGCAAGAATGGGCCTTCCTTCTCCTGGCTGCCGGCACCACCTTTGCTCCAGCCTGAGCAGCCTTTCTGCCTTCCCACAATGCCCAGAGGCCCGGAGCGAGTGGAGCTGTGTGGAATGCCTGCCACCCACCCCCTGCCCCTCGGTGCCTGTATATGCAAATTAACCCACCACCTTCGTTGCGTTGATTTGCATACTCTTGCCTGATTGGCTGCTGGGCATCATGAAGCCACGGTCAATTTGCATCTTTCTCTTTTATTAGTGTAGATGCCTAGTAAAAATCATATTAAATTTGTGTTATTTCTAAGTTTCAGACTAATGAGAATGGCAGAGAGTAAAACTAGGCATGGAGGTACAAACACGGGGTTGCTTTGTTCACTGGTGGTGGGTCTGCCCCAAGGAGGGGCCAAGCCAGAAAGCAGCTGGGTAGTCAGTGCCAGGCAGCATGCTCCATCCTCATGGCAGCCAAACCTCCAGAAAGCACCACATTGGAGAGGAGAAATATGAGAGAAAGACAGCAGTTTGCATAACTACATCTCTGCTTCCTACTCACTTTATTTCTAAAGGTTAAGCTGGCTGCTGTGTGAATCCAGGATTTAAAACCAGGGGTCTTGAGACATATGAGGGACGGTTGTGTTCATGACGATCCATTGACACTGTGCCTTCAGTTAAGCTCTCTGAAACCTTTCTTAAAATATGGTGGGGTGCTCTTTACATCTTTCAATGAAAAAGAAATGAGAAAAGGTGCCGATTCAGCTGCTCTCTGAGGAAAATCTGCTGACTCCGGGCACGGAGGCTCATCTGGCGCATGCACAACACAAGCTTTGTGGATGTTGGATTATTTTAATTAGCTGATAATGCATTTGGTATGAGGTTGATTTTTGCAACTTCTGATTCAAATATTGTCATGAAACATTTGAAAACAGACCTTTTCTGTGTCAGTAAATAACTTAATAAATAATACCCACAAATACAAAATCACTGAGTACAAAATTTCAGCTATATTTTTTGCTGGTTACATAAAAGTCCTTTGATTTAAATTCCGTCAAATTTGGGGCTGAACAGATTTTCTGTGACATTTTAGTTTTAAAATGAAGTTGCATTTTTGCATTTGAAGCCCTTCTTTATTGAATTTATAGCTGCATTTTCAGCTAATGTCCAGCATCATCTAAATCAGTGATTTTCAACCTGTGGGTTGCAACCCCTTTGGGAGTCGAACGATCCTTTCACAGGGGTCGCCTAAGACCATCGGAAAACACATATATAATTACATACTGTTTTTGTGATTAATTATGTTCAATTTGTAACAATTACATTTGGGGTCACCACAACATGAGGAACTGTATTAAAGGGTCGTGGCATTAGGAAGGTTGAGAACCACTGATCTAAATGTTGACAGCCTTTGGGAAGTTGAACGGATGACCCTTCATTTCTCTTTTCCTTGTTTGAGCTGCTGCCTCACATCACCCGTCAGTCATACCTCCTGGTGAATGCACACGAATGTAAACTTCTGTTTCATATATTTTGGGAGAAGGGTAGAACATAACGACCATAAGAGATAAGCATTTGCAAGTTCCTTCAGCACTTTTTTCCCCTTTATATTTGATGCCGAATCTGGGAATTCACCTGCAAAGGCCCTCAGAAATGGCCCCAAATTGTGCTATAACTGGACTGAATGACCACAATTGTTTAGTCACAACAAAAAAATTATACTGTAAAGAGCTTTTGAGGGTTTATATAGACTGCAAAAGAAAATAGAGTGAGCATTCGCTACACACACACACACACACACACACACACGCACACGCACGCACGCACCTGACACGCACGTGTGCACACACACACGTACACACCTGAGGCACGTTTCCAGGGTTCAGTGGAGAAAGTACTTTTTCATGGTAAATATAATATTTCAAAGAGATGAATCAAAAGGTTTAGGAAAGATTTAACCCCATTTTGCACAGACATTATCAATCATCTTCTGTGGGGGCTAAGCAGGACAGGCGGTTAAACAGCATTCTCTAAATGGTCACAGATGGTTTTTTCTTTAGGTTACAGGGGATCCGCAGAGCAGGCAAGGAGGTGCCTGAAATCTCCATCAGGGGAAATGCCCCTGCCAGCTGCAGTGATTCCCGGGCAGATACTCCGCAGCAATCACACCGTCACAAGTTACACCCAGAAAGCAGTTCGTAAAACAAGCACCAAACGACCGGCAGACTTTCCATCGTCATCTGCACTATTTAGCCTGAATGATGACATTTACCCATGAAAAATATTAAATGTTTGAGTCCTAGGTGATAGCATGACCCAAGTTATCTTTGAACATTTTCTTGTTTAAAAGGTGGTCACATTGTCACTTAAAAAAATAAATCAGAAAATAATATGTTCTCAAGTGGACAAATAAATATGGATTTTAGGGGAGTCTTTGCATTATCTCTTGCTTTCCTCTTGCTTTGGTTCCAATGGTAATTTCTCCCCAAGTTTTCTAATAAGTTCTGCTAGATCTTCTGAATTCTGAGTTTTTTCTTCCAGGAGTTCATAGCGGAGACTTGAGATATCCTGTTTAATTTCCTTCAGTTCCCCTTTGGAAAAAACAAGAGTGACAAGGATACTGTCAATATGGAATGCAGAGAAACTAGCAGTTCTGGGGTTGAGTGAAATCAGTCCCAACTCCATGCACATCTGTATGCTGAATCCTTCTGAAGGAAATAACTTCCCAATGAGCAGGTTTCTATTTTGTCAGCTACATATTTCAGGTAATGAAAAGACTATAGAAAAAAATTATAGCAAAGTTATAATTTACTTTACTCTGAGAGTGATTAAAGGAAAACATTGGTGGCAAGTGTTTGGGGGCTTGGGAGGAATAGCCCCTCACTTTTCCTAACCACTTCCTCCTCCCTCCAAGCCCCCCAGAAAAACAACCCTTACTTATCTAACTAGTGGCTTCTGCCCTCAACTATGTAGACATAGCCTATTGCCTGAGGCCCTACTGGTATCGGCAGTTGGTGAGAACCCATATTTTCTTCTTAAAGCTCACTCTTCCCAAGCCCTTCCCTCCAGCCCTCTCTCGGCTCTGCATCAAGCCCATACCCTGGCTCACCTTCATTCACTTCATCACTTTCCTTATCGATCTGGGCTTTCAGAACATATCTTTTAATGAGCCTCTTCATGATTTTCTAGAAAGAGAAAAAAAATCCATCTCAGCTTTATGTTGATGACAAATCTCTCATCTGAAATAAATTTGAGTCATTGTCTCTTTTCCAAGCACTTTAGAAGTGATTGCTATCAAAGATGAAGATGATTTACCTGTCAGGGGATGCATAAATCACCTGAATTAATGACTCAAAAATTCATTCTGCAGAAAAGAGCAAGTTCCAACCAACAGCTAATCCTTGATTCATTGCTTGTATTTTACTTGAAAAGTATTAGGGCAAGACACAGCCTTCAGTGGACAGATTAAAGGTATGCAGCATTGCCGGTGGAAATGGAAAATTAAGCAAATGGGGGAAAACTCATATGTTTATGCCCCTCGCCCTCCGGGGCTTGATGGGAGTGGGGCCGGCCATGTCTGGGTCTTGTGCGATTTCGAGATGCACGTGGTGGGTGGGGACTTGACTCTGGGTCCCGTGGAGCGCCCCAGACTCTGATAGGAGGGAGATTTTCATATACATTTTATTAATGTTCTTTCATCTCTGACACTTCTATTATAGTGAAAGGGCAAATAACAATATTAAAATATTTCCTCTAATTAATGTGCACAAATTTTGTGCACCTGGCCACTAGTAATATTAATAAGTGTAAAATTATATTAATGTATATAATCATCTGGCAAAATATTCAGCAAAAGTAAGTAATCTTTATTCCTCAGTGGTAGGGTTTGAGGTTGATTTTACTCTCCTCTTTATGATTTTAATAAGGGTAGACTTTTTACAATGAGCATGAAGACTCTAAGCTCCACGATGTCAGGGCTTCATCTATTTTGTTTACCTTTGTATTTCCAGTACTTAGTAAGTGCCTGGTACAGGGTAGTTACTCAATAAATACTTGATGAATGAATACATTATTTTGATATTAAGAAAAATATAATCATTTTCACCTAAAGAATTGCATGGTTTGAAATTCTAGATGTTATAAATAACTAGTCTTATTATTTAAAAATTCATGCTTACCTGATACTGCCTTGGAGGGTTATTGAAACTATTTAACTGGAAATCTTCTGAGCCTCTTATACCAAGCTGCAATTTGAAAAAAAAAAAATATTATAAATTGATTCTTATCTAAGTTTTTAAAAATATGATTAGCTTTGTAAATGAACTAACAGTTTTACATATAAGTAAACGTATCCATCTCTGTATATCAATATAGAGATATGTAGATATATATAGTACCATTTTAACTACACTTGCTTATTGTTCTACCTTCCAAGACAAATCACAGACACTTAAGGTGTGTTCAGCCTCTCAATGGCTAGTAGAGGTCATCTGAGGAGTCTTTTAGACTTTGTGCATCAATCATGTTGTCATGAGAATCATGTTTTAAACTTCCCATAGACACTTCTGTGACAGAGGAAGAGGCAAACAAGTTGGAGAAATAATGGTGATGACCTCAGAAATCCTGATTGACTAAAAACTGGGGATCCTGAGAAATGCCAAGATGCGACTGTTGTGGGACAGAATTCAGGTGCCAAGAAAACACTAATTAATTCATTTAAATTTTAGGATCTGTATGGTATCCAATTTGGGAAGCACTTTTCAAGTAATATATTTGTTTGAATGGGCAAATAACAAAAAATTAAAGCAATCTGCAATAAAGGTTTTAACGTACCATGTTAACATGCTAAGGGGAAGATTAAAGAATCCTTCAAGTCACTTTCTAAAGAGAAGAATATGTTTCTACAAAAAACAAGGATAACCCAAGTGAAACAGAGCAGCTCCAAATTTCTATGTTTTGGGTACACAACTGTTTACAGGGGATGAGACACTTTAAGATTGTCTTCAAAGATATTTCCCAATAACATCTAAGTTGCTATAGGTACAGCTCAATGAGACTCCATTAAAATCCTTGACTTCAATACTTTAATCTTTACTTTTATTTTTTAAAATTCATCTTTATTGTTGAAAGTATTACAGCTTTGATCTTTAAATGCCTGCATACTGAATTAAAACAGCTATGTACGCATCCATCCATCAAACAAGCATGTATTAAGTGTCTTCTATATGTAATGTACTGTGCTAAGTTATGGGTGCTAATGAAGAACATAAGCAATGATGGTCTAGCTGAATTATAGTAATAGGAAAAAAAGTCACAAGGCTGACAAAACCCATAAAAAACAATTTGTAATTTTGATAGTATAGATAGCATTTTTTCACAAAGCTATTTTCTTTTTTCTTCACCCTCTCTAAAAAAATATTAGTAAAGTGTTACATTATTTTATATTTACTTTGAAAAACATTAAGGTAAAATTATACAATTGACCAAACTGACCAACGAGAGGCAGCTTAGATTCTTAAGAGCACCTGCCAGGGACCTAAAGACCCGAATCTGCTTCTGCTACAAGTTAGCTGTGTAACACTAGGCAAGGTGCTAAAACTCTCTACTATGTCTCTGACAATGAAGGGGTGATCTAGTAACCTCTGTAGTCTTTCAAGTTCTTCTAATGAATGAACGTGTGAAATTTATGCAAGCTTAGGCCTATTTTAATAATATAACTTTAATATATTTTATTTATTTAAAATATATTTTATTGATTTTTTACATAGAGGAAGGGAGAGGGATAGAGAGTTAGAAACATCAATGAGAGAGAAACATCAATTAGCTGCCTCCTGCACACCCCCTACTGGGGATGTGCCCGCAACCAAGGTACATGCCCTTGACCGGAATTGAACCTGGGACCTTTCAGTCCGCAGGCCGATGCTCCATCCATTGAGCCAAACCGGTCAGGGAAATATATTTTATTTTTAAATAATATAACTATTCGTTTCTTTTTATCATGCCATAATTATTTCTGGCTTTCAATCTGTAATTTACACCTTAAGGACATCATTAAATGTGACGGCCAGGTTCAAGCTCACTTTCATCCCTGTTTTTATGAGAAAACATTGAGAGTAAGGACAGGTTCATAAACAGAGGGAAAAGGTCCAGACCAATGGAATCTTTGCACATCCTTTACCAACTATTCATGAATTCTCAACCTCTGAAAATCATTAATTTGATGCTCATTTTTTTATTAGAGGCTACCAGTACATCCATGGGTGTTCATGGAAATTGGAAAGTAAAAAAATTTTGCTTCCTATAGATTTTTTTGAAGGCAAATGTGTGGTCCTTGATACTTGATTGGGGATGATGCCAAATCATCCCCAATTAAGGCAGCTCCATGACACACCATGCCCTTGGAGATAATCCTTTAAAAAAAAAAACGAAAAAAAAAATCTTAGTATTACAGTAATGTCACACAGGACTTCTTTCATTTGTTCTTTTCTAACTTAAGGCTTTTGTGTTTGCTGTTTCCAATCCCTAAAACCCTCTTTTCCTGGCTCTCTCACCTTTGGATTTTTAAAACATATTTTTATTGATTTTTAGAGAAAGAGTAAGGGAGAGGGAGAGAGAAAGAAAACCATCAATGTGAGAGCAGAACATCTACCAGCTGCCTCTTGCATGCCCCCTACCGGGGATCGAGCCTGCAACCTGAGCATGTGCCCTGGCTGGTAACTGAACCAGAAACCCTATGGTGCACAGGACAACGCCCAACCATCTGAGCCACACTGGCCATGGCTCACCCTTTGGATTTTTGCTTAAAACATAAGCTTATCGGAAATCTTTTCTTGCCCGCCCCATGAAAAATAGCTCTTGATTGTTTCCTTCAGAACATACTTCACGACTTACAATTACTATATTCACTGGCTTAGTCCCATGTGTACTGTCTGCACTCTCTAGGCCAGCCGTGGGCAAACTACGGCCCGCGGGCTGGATCCGGCCCGTTTGAAATGAATAAAACTTAAAAAAAAAGACCGTACCCTTTTATGTAATGATGTTTACTTTGAATTTATATTAGTTCACACAAACACTCCATCCATGCTTTTGTTCCAGCCCTCCGGTCCAGTTTAAGAACCCATTGTGGCCCTCGAGTCAAAAAGTTTGCCCACCCCTGCCCTAGGCTGTATAGAAGGATGGACTTTTTAGTTCATCCCAATGTCCCTAGTGCCAGCACTGTCCAGCAGATGGCGAGTGCTCAGCATTGCTGGTTGGTGAAATAAGTGAAAGAAGAAGTGTTACTGGGTCACTAATGGACCTCACTTGGTTTCTGTACACCTTGCTATACAAGGCACGTACAAAACTCTCTGGGTTCATGAACCAGTAGGTTGCAGTTCAACTACATGATAAAGAGACATCTGAAATACAGTGAATTAGTTTTAAGCCATGAGGCAGATGCCTTACAAAGCAACACACGGGGTGATACAGAGGAAGTAACAGTGCCAGCAAAACAGAAAACAGTATTCTGTTCACTTAAGAATGTGTATGATTGTGGATTTTCCGGAGGGTAGATCTTGAAGAGTCAATGACCGGAGTTACAGTGTGTTCATACAGATCCAGCCTAACCTGCAGCTCTCCCAGGTGTGGAGGCAGTGGACTGAGTTCCAGGTTTCTCGATCCAGACATTTTTGACACTTTGGGCTAGAAAATTCTTTATTGTGGGGGCTTTCTGTGTATTGCAGGATGTTTAGCAGCATCCATGCCCCCTAACCCACTCTATGCCAGCAACAGTGACCCTCTCTGGTGACAAAAATGCCTCTATTACAAATGCGCCCTGGGGATGCTAGTGGGGGTTGGGGAGGGCAAAACCACCCCTGTTTGGGAACCACTGGTATAGTGAGATGGTATATGACTAAACATTTATAAAGTTATTTGGAACATTTTTATGTGACTAGTGCTGCTCTAAGTCTGAGACATGAATGTGGATACAAATAAACATTTTTAAGAAAAATTTCTAATCCGTTTCTAAATACCTAACAGGTATGTAATAAACACATGTTAAAAGGGAATAATCCAACAAACAGTATGTAAGGAAGAACTTACCCAATGTGCAAAGAAGCATTATTACCACTTGGTGGCAGAAAATTCTAACATATAATTGTTTCTATCCACACTAATGAAATAAACTGGAAAGTCAAGAGAATTCAATTTGCAATATGAATAATATTCAAACCTTCGGGATCTGGATAAGTATAGATCATATTAATAAGTACAATGTGATGGGAGTGGGGAGGGGAAGCTGGTTGAGTAGAAGCAGGAAGCACTGGATAAAAGCTTTATAACAGATTAGTGCACAAATGCACACTCCAATTATTTTTTAAATATATTTTTATTGATTTCAGAGAGGAAGAGCGAAGGAGAGTTAGAAACATCAGTTATGAGAAAGAATCATTGATCTGCTGCCTCCCACACATACCACACTGGGGATTGAGTCTGCAACCTGGGCATGTGCCCTAACGGGGAATTGACCTCCTGGTCAATAGGTTGATGCTCAACCACTAAGCCACACCAGCCAGGCTACACTCCAATTCTGAATGAGTCATTGCCTCTCCTTTCTAAAATACCTTCTACTACATTTCCTGTATTCTTTATGTTTTCTCTCTGGTTCATTTTCTAATAATTAGTTTATTAACATTTCTCAACTCTTTGTACAATCAGAGTGAGGAACACTCAATACCTTGTTTGTTATTTATTAAGAGGAACAAGTATGCTTCATTCAGTCGTTGGAAATTATTATGTGGTTGGACATAACAACAGTTCTGAGAGTCTCCCATCCCCCACAGCTGAAATGCCTGAGGCCAGGAGCAAAACCATGAACTTAAAGGTACAGGCAATATATGAGTCAGCGGGAAATGCAGATGTGACATGAAGCCATGGGGCACAGAGCCTGCAAGCCTCTTGCTTTGGAATCAAGTAGATGTGAATTTGCATTCTGGCTTTGTCACTTGTCTGAAATGGGACTTTGGGCAAGTCATTTCACCTCTGTTAATCCTCACATTCTTCATGTATAAAATAGGGAAAATAGAGCTAATGTGAGGATTAGAGAGATAAGGTACGTAGAATATGTAGTTTGACATACAGTAGGTGTTCTACAAGTGTCCGAGGCTATTATTATACAAAAGTCATAACTATCTGCTTTGTGGCTTTGGGCCTATTTCATGGTTAGTTTTAATCTAGTTAATTTATTCTTGAGATACTTTACAAA